GAGAGAGAGAGAGAGAGAGAGAGAGAGAGAGAGAGAGAGAGAGAGAGAGAGAGAGAGAGAGAGCGCTTCATGCTCTGAGTGTCGACATGATTTACAGTCGTTTCCATACAATGTGATTAATTCGTATAGATTCACTCGATAATTGTTCATGCTTTCAGGTGGAACTAGGAGAGTGGTGTTACTTTTACCGGATGGGAATTTTATGATGACCGAGGTAGACGAGGAACAATATGCTGCACTGGAGCTCGACAAATGAAGAAGATGCACGCAATTCTTTTGCAGCCAAGATGCACGTAATTCTTTTGCGTACCGGGCAAAATGTACACGACTACGTGTCGACTTACGCGTTACGCGCAAATTGTACGCTCATGTGTAATCGTGAATTGTACATATGTAAGAAGGTTCACCTCGTACGATTGCGCTCATTGACGTCTTAAATATCGGCTAGACAGGTATTGCAAAACGAGAACAGATGTAAAAAAAAAAGATAAACGAGAGAGGAAAAGATCGAGAAACAAGCAGAAATGAATACGCATCAAGAAATCTAAAGTTAAGATTAAATCAATCTTACGACGTTCTAGAAATGTACGCTCAGTGTAACTAACTGGTATCTCAGTTTTTTCGTGTTTACTTTTACGTCATCAAATAGCACAGATACTACGAATGCAGAGTAAAGATACAGCAGTACTTTCAATACAGTGACATCAATATGATATGTTCGTAACTATTACATTGTATTTGTAGGATAGTAAAGTATATAATATGGGGTTTTATATTTTCCAAACAGTAATAAGCTTTGATAAAAAAGAAAAAAAGCGGAAGAATCTTATTCCACGCATACAAAGTTCAAGGTGATAGTGTCGTATGGTTATCGCAACGGACACATCTGTAATGAAGTGGATTTACATCGCGTCGTATATATAAACATTAAAAAAGAATATCAAAAGATACTATTTATCACAAAATGTTTTGATTTCGAACTCGCGCGAATTGCTTTCATTATGCTGTGAGTGCTAATGGAATATCATTATATGATATGATTAAAATGAAGTATTCTTGTATGAATCATTCAAATTAATGATTATCCCATATTCGTTATACGATCGTAAAATGTGTCTTACATAACATGGACTACGTATGCTTATCTATAGGATAAATAAGTGCACTAACGAAACACTTGTAGTTTCCGAGTCTATAAGGCTTAAAATACAATGTTGTTGAACTGAAGCACCGCTCGCATCCTATTATCACCCATGTTTCTCTATCCAGGTTGCGGACAGATTTAATTCTTTTCCCCCTTTTTTAACGATGTATGGATGGAAACGTTGAAAATGAATTTACTTCACGTATTATTTCAACAATTAATCATACAGCATTATGAAATAAATAACTGTGACAGTTATTACTGTATTATTTATATAGATTTTGATTGACGATTTATCTGAGAAAATTGACGAAAATGCGAGCGGTTCTAGTTGCTTTGTAGCGACATTAGCAGTGCAGTGGAAGATGCGACGTATGTGTGTACACTCAGAGGCAGGTATGGTGTCCCTCGGCGGACCCGTATACGCCTGTCAAATAGTCGAAAGCGACAACAGGCATATACGGAGGATGTACTGTACGTCTTACGTATAACGCGAGAAGCGAAGAAGGCACGTAGGGGAAGTGGTGGGAGACATTTTGATGTTGCATCCTTTTCGCACGTCGTCCGATCGAGAGAGAAAGTATCAGCAGACGTTACAGTTGTTAGTGGTGTCCTCAATAGCTGTCTCACTCACTCAACGCTTGAACGCAGAAAATATGAGCGAGACAGCAATAAGAATACCGCGCTGTCTCTATAGGTGTTTCGCTCGCTCTAGTATCCATGTTTCCTCTTTTCTCCTTAGCAAAAATGCACGTTGTGCCGATGAATGACACCAAACGACAAAATTTAACTTTTTTGTTGTACGAATGTGAGTAGTCATTTCCGATGTATTTTTGCCCGCTAAGCACAAATCCTTAGTCCAAATTTGGTTACCGCGTTACATTTTTGAAAAAAATACATCGGAAATGATAGACATACCCTTATAGAAATATCAATAATTATATCAATAATTCAGTATTTTTAATACTGAAAATAAATAATTATCAATGATTCTTAGTATGATATTTCTATAAGGGTATTTCGTCATTATAAGATCATTAAGATGCGTCCGCATGTAATATTGAGATATTAAGATCTTTACAAAGAATGAATTTTGCCGGCATATGAAAAAAATCATCTGATGCTATAAACATTTCAGTTTGCTGCATATTCTGATGTCAATGGTAATGGATAAAAACATTTCATAATTTGACATATTCTACGGAATGGAATAAATTTTTTTCTTCGTAAATTTCATGATAACCATCAGTATAGATATATCAGTATGTAACCATAAAGTATAGACTTTTCTTTGTAATTTTAAAAAGAGGCAGATTTTTTCGCAGAGTTGCGACATATCTAAGGGCGCGATCCATTGCACGCTGCAAACGTTTCGAAGTCTAAGCACTCAAAGTTACCCATGCATTTCTTTTAAATCGCTTAAAACCGGGAATACAATAGGTGTAGTAAGCTTTAAGCATTAAGAAATTAAACAATCCTAGTCGACTTTTACAAGAATAATCGAATGAGGTTTGCCAATTTCTTATGACAAAACTTACTACACTTATTGTGTTCCCGTGCTAATTTGACGTACTGTACTAGATGGAATTAATTCTTTTCATAAATTTTATGATAAAAATATCGTTGTTTTCTTACAAATAAAAAAAAAATAAAAAACTAATAATGTTATAAGGCTCTTGTAAAAATCAATTTAATTCTAAATATAAACAGTAGGCATATAAGAGCCGATTTTTCGCTGGTTCGTGTTATGTAAGTTTAATGTAAAGAAACAATTAATACAAGTTTTCAATGAAAGCAAGTTTTTTTTAAGAGACTTTTTCTTGCTTTTTAAGGTAATAGATGTGGAGGCGGTCCAATAATAAAGGGGTCTACAGCTTCTTGATTTCATTGACTTCTTACTTTGCTTTACGCGAAATTTGCAACATTTATGTTGTATTCTGTTCTGTACTCCTTTTCTACGCTGAAAAAGGTTCGAACCGAGGACCTAAACGTACGTGATATTTATAGAAGACTTGTATTAATTGTTTCTTTACATTAAACATACATAATACGAACCAGCGAAAAATCGGCTCTTACATGCCTACTGTTTATATTTAGAATTAAATTGATTTTTACAAGAGTCTTATAACATTATTAGTTCTTTCTTATTTTTTTTAATTTGTAAGAAAACAACGATATTTTACAATTTTTATCATAAGATTTATGAAAAGAATTTATTCTATCTAGTACAGTACGTCAAATTTTGTCGTTCGGTGTCATTCATCAGCACAACGTGCATTTCTGCTAAGGAGAAAAGAGGAAAGCGTGATACATGGATACTAGAGCGAGCGACACCTATAGAGACAGCGCGGTGTCCCTATTGCTGTCTCGCTCATATTCTCTGCATTCAAGCGTTGAGTGAGTGAGACAGCTATTGAGGACACCACTAACAACTGTAACGCTGCTGATGTTTTCTCTCTCGATCGGACGACGTGCGAAAAGGATGCAACATCGAAATGTCTCCCACCATTTCCCCTACGTGCCTTCTTCATTTCTCTCTCGCGTTGTACGTAAGACGTAGAGTACGCCTTCCGTATATGCCTGTTGTCGCTTTCGACTATTTGACAGGCGTATACAGGCTCGCCGAGGGACACCATACCTGCCTTTGAGTGTGCATACATATATGTATTGGAACATGTGCGGGCAAATATTTTGCCAGTTGCATTCAGTCTCCAAGCTTGTATAATCTCATTGGACCTTATTCTGCATTCTCTTTTACGGGTAAAAGTGTCTCTAAAGTCTGATTTATGCTCTTTGCATTCTGTTTCTTGTCTTCTATCTTTTTCTGGCTTAAATCTTAAGGTGTGAAAGAGATAAAGGCCTGTATTCTGAGTTCTCTTTTAACGATAAATAAAAGTGACTCTAAAAGTGACTCATAGCCAATCATAAAGCTTATAAGTCACTTTTAGAGGTTCATTTATCGTTAAAAGAGAACTCAGAATACGAACCAATGAAAAATAAACAAGAAGCAAATAACGCATTGTAGAGCAAGCTAAAGAGTGAGATTACACGGTGTGTAAAGGGCCATCTACAATGGAGAATCGTACGCTGCAGCAGTAAGAAATTAACCAATCACAATCGATTATTCTTGTAAAAATCCAGTATGATTGGTCAATTTCTTACTGTTACGTACGATTTTCCATTGTAGATGGTCCCTAATAAAGTGCGGGATAGAGAGTGCATCATAGAAGCAACCAATCAGCGTTATGTCGCTCTTTTCTATCGCGCAAGTTTTGTGTGCTGATTGGTTGCTTCTATGGCCAGTATTCATAGTCAGATCTTATATTTAAGATCATCTTAGATTGCATTCTAAAACGTTCTTTTTGAGGAAAATTTTACTCAGTACCTACAATTCACGTTACATAAACTATAGAGTCTCGAGTAAAATTTCCTCAAAAAGGATGTTTTGGAACGTAACCTCCCAGCAAACAAAATGACGTCAAATGACGTCATCTTGTTTGCTGGGCTTAAGTACTATCTTAAGATGTCATGAACCAATCACAGAGCCGTATTCGCATCTTAAGACATTACTTAAGACGGTCTTGAAATAAAATTCGACTATTAGCGAATTCAGTAGCTTGCACTAGTGCGTACTGAGTGCGCGCTAAGGCTTGTTTACAGTACATTCTTATATTTAAGATCGTGTCTTAAATACATATTTAAAAACATTTTAGCTAATAAAATGATTCGTACGGATGTTACATATTATGTACATATTATATTACTGGTTAAACATATTTGAGAATTTATTTAAAACAGTCTTTAAATATAATAACATACTATAAACAAGCTTAATGCGCACCGAGTGCGCACTAGTGCAAGCAACCGAATTCGCTATATGAATACCGGCCTATGACGCACTCTCTATTCCGCAGCTCTTTTACCCCTTGTCCACAACCTTGCTTTAATTCTTAAGCTGTAAGACCAACCACAGTTGATTATTTTTAAAATAATATACTGTGGTTGGTCAATTTATTACGGCTTAAAGATTAAAGCAAGTTTGTGGACAAGGGGTTATTCTGCATGTAATTTTACCTCAAATGTGACTTATAAACCTTCTAATAGACTTTCAGGCACACTTTTACCGATAAAAGGGAGTTCAGAAAAAAGCCAATTGCATCAGTGTTATTCGCTTTAATTTACAGCAATAGAAAACTGCAACTTTTTGGTAACTCAATTTTGATTTGCGAAATAAGTCGTAGTCCACGAAATATGTGTTTACGAAACTTATATGTTATTCGGCGATTTTCCTTTTCTTTTTTAAAATACGTAACTTTAGCGCAAGCATTATATCCGCGCTAATTATCAATATTCATAGTAATGTAGAAGCGAGTTTTTTAATTTATCGATGAATTAAAAAACTCGCCCTAGTACATACATGCGCCGCTACTGTTAACCAAAAATTCATAGACGATATATTGATTCGCGTCGCTCACGTTGTTTTTTCCTCAGAAAAATCAGATTGATCTCTTCAATGTCGGTCAGTCTACTGAAGAGGAAAAGCATAACGAAAACAGTAGTACCGAGAACGGTTTTAATCGCGATCCCCAATTCTGTGGAATTTCGCAATTATGAGTCCAACAGGTTGTATCAGGTACGCGTATATTCCATACAGACCATATATATTCTTTTCCTTACGTATATGAAAACCCATCTAACACCTTTCGCTTGTGTTTCTCGTTGCAGAAAGTTGTCTCATTACAAAACGTAAGCACGTCTTTAGTCAAATTTCAATTGGTGACAAGATCCAGCGATTCTCGATTCATCGTCGCAATTGAATCCAAGGGACAAAGGGGCGGTATCCCTCCAGGAATGCGTGTAAAACTGATTGTCTCTTTTCGTTGTGACACCCTAGACGAGCCCGAAGAAACGCTAACGGTAAATGTGCAACAAGGACGTTCAGTGATTATCAAGTTACGCGGTTATCGGGATCCATCGATACTGAGAAGTAAATGAATTTATCGTTTGTCGCATATAAAACGTAAATGTTGACGAGCACAAGATAAAAGCGTTAAAACCAGAGAATACTGGTATATTTCTTCGTGTATTATTTTCATTGTTATTCGCAGTAATTAACATCTCGTACTTTCGATATTCACAAAAAGGATCGTATGCAATGACGAGAGATACAGAATGGGAAATCCCGTTTAGGCAAATATATTCCTGCAAAGAGGTACAGAGCCTTTTCCATTTTGTGATAGTATCCCGAATTACTTTCGTGACTTTTGTATCAACTAAGAAAAAAAACGAACGAAAACTTTGCAGTCTATCGGCAGAAGTAGCGATGTATCGAGCGCGTCTACAGAGAGTTTTCCACACTGCAGACAATTGAAGAACTTCGATTGCGGAACTTGTCCCGTCGGAGAACAAGTTACTTTATCCTTGATTGTCAGAAATATCGGCCATGAGGGAAGATTTTTCGTTATGAGCGAGATTGACTGGTGCTCGATGCATATCGAGGTGAAAATGAAACAACACCGGAACAAAAGAGCTCGCTCGCTCTCTCTCTCTCTCTCTCTCTCTCTCTCTCTCTCTCTCTCTCTCTATATATATATATATATATATATATATATATATATATATATATATATTACGTTGTATCATAATATCAGTCTTGTTTTAGGATGTCACTGACCAAAATATGCTGATTCTAACGTCTTTTGCTATATGGCCTGCATACTTTACGCTCAAGCCGCAGGAATACATATATCTGTATCTCCATTTCTTCCCTGATACTCATGGAATGCATGTAAATTATGAGCTAAAGGAATCAAAAGTATTTATACTGAACGATACTCTTTTTGTAAATTAGGTGGAAACGTTGTACACGATATGCGACAATTGTTCCGTGATAACAATGGAGATTATCGGCGATGGCGTCATATGTGAGTAGCTGTAAAACGACAAGACAGAAGTATTCCACAAGGCTTCTGTATATTTTTATTCTAAATATTTTAACTGCATCCCTCTTTTGTCAAATTAATTTATTAAAACTGTAATTGAAAGGCGAACACATTATATTGCTCTCCTGAGAATATTACAAGTTTGTTACATCTTAAATAATGGCAAGAAGCTCGGTATAATAAAGTTCTAATGTAATTCGGCCGTGTCACAATGAAATTTTTTTCAAGCACGCGATAAAAAATCCAATAGAATCACTTTCAGGACCGAATCTACATACTTTCTTTGCGTCCTCGTCTGTCAAGCCATTCACGGTATATCCTCGAGTGCCGTATCTGTCAGTTTTTATCCGATCCTCGACCGATTCCACCTTTAACTCTGGAAATTGCTTCAATGCCCAAGCGATAATCCCTTCGTTCTCGGCTACTGTGACAGTGCACGTACTATACACCAACGTTCCCTTCGACTTCAAAAGACGCACAGCCTATGCGAAACGTTCGTATCGTTAATCTTGGTTTTCTCGGCAGCTCTTTAAGTATTGAAATTGCACGTGACAACGAAAGCTCGCCAACTTACAGCAGAGAACAGACCTCGTTGCAAGGGGACGTAAGAACGAAGTTGCATCGGTGTGATTGCGTTGCATAATTGCGGTCTTTGACCTAATGCGCTACACGGAGTGTCCAAGAGAATACGATCAAAGTGATTCTTTGGGAACGGTGGCTCATCAGTGCAGACGGAACTATGCTCTTGTTCCGCGACAGCCTTTGCAGCATCGTAACAAAAGATTTTAATGTTTTCGTCGTTACACTTTTCCTTAAATCGCTTGACCTTACCTGGATTTTTCTCTAAAGCTATTATCGTACCCTAGAAAGTACACTGGAGATTATTATCGAACGCGTTATCTAGACTTTTCACATTTGTTCTTTCGTGCGTTATTCCAAGGAGAATTCTCTAAGCTCTCATTATTAAGTTGTTCAATCAAAGTACAAAAAGCGCAACGAAAGTATAGCTAGAACGAACAAGTGTATCGTTACGCATCGTTTATATTTTACCAAATCTATTTCCAAGTGCATACCTGTCCTTTCATAAGATATGAAATGTGTGTGGTTTTGTTACCAGGTGCGGCACACATGTCGAGAATCGTCTCGCCCGGTTGGGGATTTAAAACTAGGCTACATACGATAGACGGCAAATTTTGCAGTAGCGTATGTGGCCTCGGAAACTCATCGGTCGCATTTAATTGTGGAATTCGTGAGATTACATCAGTCATAATTATCGCGATACCACTAGAAGATAATTTACAAGGTGTTTCAGTAAAGTGCAGTAGGCAATCTCTCAAGGGCGTGTAAATTGGGTGAACATAAAATCATATAAATGATTTTCTCACAGCGCACTGAGATATTTATTTCCGAAGTTGGAATCTAAAAAGTATTTTCTAAAACTAACTTTTATATTGCTCTCATCAGATTTCTATAGTCTTTGTATTATTTGTATACTAAGTCGTTGAAATGATTTGATACATTTTTTTGGGATATTACGTCAGTGAATAGAACTTTTCAAAGTTTAGACACTTAGATTTCTCAAATCTTAAAGAAAAAGGGGATAAACACGTGTGAAATGAAATTGAACTGAGTAACACATTGCAGTGCACATGAATGCATATGAGTGCACATTGAATGTGCACTATGAGAGAGCAATTTATATAAATATAAGATCATTTTCATCCTTTAATCTCTATTATGTGTCCCTAAAAATTATTCACCTTTACTGAGACACCCTGCACATTGTTCAATACGATAATACTAAACGACAGTTAGCAGTGACTAAATAACGACATATTCGCAAAAATGATGTCGTGATGTGTAGACAGATTGGGCTATCACGATAGCATGCACAGTTGTCCGTTGCTATATTCTTCAATATGATGATATGCGCGTACACACACTCACATTCGCAATGCAAGTCTATGCAACTTTATTTTCTTAATTGTTACTCACCACGGATTTTCGGCAGTCTTTCCAAACAGTTGTTTCCTCGTTTGTCGTACAACGCCGTTACCCAAGTACACCTTACTACCACTTGCATATGGTTTAATCGAGCCTTTTTTACATTCGCCGGTAATATCGGCGAATATACTGACTTTGGTGTTAATTTTTAAATCTACAAGAGAATTTATACAAGATACAAAGTTTTTACGAATAATTGTAGAATTTCTCGTGGAAGAATTACCATTCGGCATTCCCATGATGCCAGGAGCGTAAACATGAGATCCTCTTAATACGGCTGTGCCGCACCTAGCATCGACGATAATTTCATCCGGATATTTCTTTAAATCGAGACATACCGACATGTCCCAACTGTCAACAGCGACTACTTGGTATGGAAGGTCAGGTAACAAATGCATAGTTGGATCTGGCTTATCATTCTAATGCAAATATATCAAATTTATAAAACACAGTCGGGATGTACCAATCCAATAATTAATAATCGAGATGTTTCTCAAGGATATAATCAATTGTCATGATAGTTGTGGCTACTCAACATACTTGCTTCAATGCCCTGCGTAGATTTTCCAGGTCATTCGTACAATCAACTTCATAACGATCCAATCTGTAAATACTCTTCTGAGGTGTTGTGCACATCCATTTACAGAGGGTGTTAACCCTTTCCTATAATTTCATTGAGCCAGGAAATTATTTGACGTTTCATTTAGTACGACAGTAGCGGTGAGACTCACAAAAATTTCATTTGCATACCTGTATTCGAGATCTTTGTAAGCGACCGCCATTAGTGATTATCTTTCCGAGATCTGTCATCAATTCGTCGTGTATTTCGTGTTTATTTTTGAACGGTGTTTCTCCTAAATTATGTAGCAACGGTGACATATTTTGTTTCTTTTTCCGCCGTTTGTCATTAATTTATTCGTTCTCTGTAAAATATTGTCAATTGTTCAACACTAGCACATTGTGTATACATATGTTTAGTATGCATTTGTAAATTCAACAAGATAGGTCTGTTTTCTGTTTCTGCACTGCTGAACTGGTGCAATAAGTTAGAGTGAGACAAATATATTTTTTTCTCGCTCTAACTTATTGCACCAATTCAATAGTGCAGGAACGAAAAACAAACCTGATATATTCTAGGTATCTTATACAGAAAGAAACATTTTCTATAGTAATATATACAGAAATTTTCTATTTAGTTTATTGGTAAGACTGAAGAGAGAGATAGAAAGAAAGAGAAAGAGATGTGTCTGAATCGGTTGAGAGATACTGATAACAAAAATTTTCAATTTTTGCAAGGTCAACATTGTAGAAAGATATCTTTATTCCGAATAATTATTCATTTACCACTATTATCCACCAACTATTTATTTTTCATGTTGCAAGAAATGTAATAAAGGAACAACAACAAGCGCTTGATATTCATGAAAAAGAACACATTCTCAGTAAACAAGGTAATCATGCAGGATACAATCAGTCTGATAAATTGTGCCTATAGAGATCTGTGTCATCACTTTCTCCCCTATTTACATAGCAGAGAATATAGAAGACAGATGTTTCTAGCTAAAATGTATTTATAGCTGTGAGAATTATGTATCATGAGCTCATGTTCAATTGATTTTGTAACAGGGAGAAGAATAACAAGTATGTTTAATGCTCGGCATGAATTAAAAAATGAATGGCAAGAATTTCAACAACTTCACTCAGCCTTAGATACAGCTCAACAGGAGATTACAAGTCTCGATCAGAAGTTGCGTCACGCTAGAAGAAATTTAGAAGAAGAGAAACATAAACGTCGAATGGCTGAGCAAGAAAGAGATTTATTGGTATACATTGTTTTTTCTTTCATGTAAAAAAAATCAAACAGATACTTGTCCACTGGTCAATCTGATTTCTATCGCTTGACAGGAAAGCCAAATTAGCACGATTCGAGAGACTTTATTTCACGATGAAGAAGTGAGCTTAGATGAAGGGATAAAGAAGAAATTACAATTTCTTAACAAACCTATTTTCACATGGAACAAGCATAATGTATATATCCGGGATGGACAGAATGACGGGCAGTAAGTTATACTGATTAACATAACAATATACAGATATATTGTGTATCAGGTCCATTCTTACTACACTTGTTTGATATTCTTTTTAGACTGAATACGATAGTGGAAATGGATTCCACAGGTTCAATATTAAGCGATTTGAATTGTCTGTCAAAGTCAGAAGATGATTTGAATACTAATAGTATGCTGTTACAAAGCCAAAAGCATGGAGACTGGAAAGAACATGGAGCTAATAGCAAAAATTCGGTATACAAGCAACACAACACATTGGATAAAGTTGCTGAATTTAATTCATCAGACAGAGCGACTGTGACAATTAAATCAAACGACAGTACTCATACTGCATCTTTTCAAACTCAAATTACACCTGGTAATGAACATATCGATTTCAACGTGTCAGACACAAAACTACATCATAGCTTTGTATCGAAGATGGTGATCAAACCAGAAACGTGTACTCCTTGTGGTAAGAGGTAATATTATCAATTGGAGATATAACATGTGGCCTGTAATAACTCTATAAAGAAGTTACAATATTCCTCTTCTGTTTGATGTTAGAATCCGATTTGGAAAAATAATGTTAAAATGTAGGGACTGTCCTGTTATTTGTCATGTCGAGTGCAAGATTACGGTTGCGCAACTGTGCGTTTGCGGGCAGGTAACATTACTATATCGTGTATATGTTGTGTGTCAATAATGCTTTGTCGTGTGATATCTATACATAAATTATTGTATACACGTTTCACAGTAAAACATCGCGTATGAACTCGCGTTATTCGATACGGACTTGAGCAAGACATCACGATTTAGTCAACCTGGAAACCGATTCGATTTTATCGGCATTACGTGGTTTTGCACGTTTACAGTTAAGGAAGCTTACAGGGAAACATCTGTTTTAGGAAGTACGAGCGTGCTGGCATTAATTAATAAATCCATTATTACGCAATATTACGAGATCGCTACCGTCACTGTTTCCTACCTCTGTATTATTCTTCTATGTTGTAGCAGCGGCTTTATGCTGTAATTCTAAACAAATATACGAGTAAATCGTTGACTTACGAATCAATCGTCTACTCGTAAATTCTTACGAGAACAAGTTACGAGATTTATAATTTTGTCTAGAATTGCAATATTATTTTCACGCAAGATATTTCTAAAAAAACTATAGTTCATGTTACGTGTACTGTAGTTTTTCATAAAAATATCGTGTGTGATATTTTTCAAGAATACAACCCATATCGAGGAACAATATTAAATAAAGTTATATCTTTCACATATAGATCTGTCACGCCTACAACTAGTGCTGCGTTCCTTTTGTGCGTTTACGCGCTTTAAGCACTTATAAGCGTCACTATGGGTGCGTTCGGGGAGACGCTGTTAACGCTACCAAAGCAAACGTCACTAAAACTGTTCGTGGAGCCAATATCGTGGTGCGATAGCGTTAGTGAGCTCCATGAATAGGATAGCTATCATGAATCTTTCACGTGAACTTCATTTTCATTTTTCACTTTTCACTGTAAGTTATTTCACATGAAAAGTGAACAATGAAAATGTGAAAAGCAATATTTATATAATATAGATTATTAAAATTAAAATGTAATTACAGTATACACAATGTAATATATAACACTTTGGGCTTCATTCCCGCGACAATGGCTGGTATTCATAGTCTTATTTTTAAGACTAAACTTCTTAAGTTCATCTTCAGATATTCTGTAGCCAATGAAATGATCCGTTCATCATCTGAAGATAAACTTAAGATGGTCTTAAATATAAGATCTGACTATGAATACCGGCCAATATGCTCCATTCATGTATTCTTATGTCCATGAATTTGCCTAATTTATTTTAAATCCAAATTATCGGCTATTACTATTAACTATCAGCCTTTAGAATAGTAGTAATTTTAGTGACGCTATAATTAATATAAGATGTTTTCCAATTGCAATATTCCTAGACACTTTCATGCACACGACGACACAAGTTGCGTTCCAATTGTCGTAATCGTCGGCACAACCGCACGTAGGGCAGCGATCACGTAACTTCGAGCGAATCTTTTCACTTTTCGCTCTATCGATTTCACATGAACTTTTTCATTGTTCACGCAATCAAATAACTCTATGCGTGAAAAGCATAAATCACTAAACATGGTTCCTATATGATTTCAATATCGGCCAAATTAGCTGTATCCATCGGCTGTAGAATATATAACCTTAAAAACATCGCTATAACTTTAAGACTGTTATGTTTCCTGTATCTCATCATAGTAGCATAATATATTCCGTATTTATTATGTCACTAGATTTTCACTTTTCCGCCAGCACATTTCATGGCTAATAAGTTCACGTGAAAAGTTTCACGTTTCTACGCTTCGCCGAATTTAGTTATCTCGAGTACACGTGAAACTTTTCACTTTTCACGTTTCCGCCGTAGGGGAAAAGTTATATGATCGCTGCTCTGCTCGAGGGGCTACTAGTCGGTTATGTAAACTAGTGTTTTCTAGTGACAATTAAAGTTAATAAGCGTAGCGGCTTGAAAAGAGACTGGCATTTGTGACGTGAAGTGGATAATGTCTTTTTTATTATTTAGATTTTATTATTTATTATTAAAAAATACTAAAATATAAGCATAGTTGAAAAATAATCTTAACTCTATCTGACATATGTACACATTAGTACACATTTTGTTCCAATTGAATCGTGCACAACGTTACATTTTGTGCATTTCTGTGTACATATGTGTCAAGTGTGTTAAGCAATTGGAAAACACCCATAGTAATCGAATCAAGTATGATTACATTCGTTTTTATTTGTGCGTTCGCGTTTGTGTGTCTATTATCAACAAGATTAATACAACAGCCTATATGTACACATTTGGCAATAATAATTTCGAAATTTCTAATAATGTGTCCTACGTCGCCATCTATTAGGGTACTCATGTACCAATCCTAATTTCGTCGTCACGTGACACATTGGGCCAATCGCGTAAGCACGTTGACTCTATACGTGGCATAAGGCATGAATCCTTTCCACATCCGCCATTTTGACATACGGTACTTTTCGAGAGTGTTGGTTTTATGTTTTATCGTTTCTCGTGAAAATAATCTTTTTTACTGAAACGTAAGTAACGCAAGTGGCGTATATGTGCAACGTGGCATTACCAGAGAGCTCGATAGTAAGAGCAAGTCTCTAGATAATGGATCTTTGAGCGAGTACCTCAGACGATTCGCTGGGGAGTAGGTCGAAGGTGACAGACAACCGGGTGTACGCAGTGGCTTCTCAAACCGCATAATATCTTCCGCCTCGCTTGCAGTATCACACTCCACTGGCCTTTTAAATAGTACGATCACCTTTTAAAAGTGCGTAGATCGTCGGCAAAGCAGTCTATTGTGATCCTCGAGGGTATGCTAGTCCGATAATCATAGCGATGTTTTAAAATGGGAATCAATAGCGGGCAGCGTGAGCATCTCGTGCGTGCTTGACCTTTTTTTTTTTATTTCTCTATCATTTCGCTTGACAGTCGTACGTGGGCCATTTCTATCTCGTCGGAATAAATTCAGTCGTTTCATATCGTGTACGTTTGTTAAATACGATCAGGTTAGTTCGCAAGCCTTTTGTGACAGCGTACACGACTGCCGTACGTATGTATGTGTGCGTATGTGTAAACGCGACGAGTATGACGGCGGCGGCGGCGGCGACGGCAACGGCGGTGACGGCGGCGACGAACACTCTAGTTCGTACTGTCTCAAGGAGACGCGTATTGCTGGGATCGTTCAAAGAATTCATCATCGCTCACTCCACGTGCACTTTTTCGTTTCTGATGATATTTTCTTTTTCACAGAACTGTCGTTTTTTCCTTGTCAACTCTGTGCACGCGCGATCAACGAAATAAAAAAAAAAGAGAGAAACAAACGAAACAACTTTGAGATGTGACATATCTTATCATTATTACACACATGGATATTGCTCTCTCACGCTACTCGCACGTTTATTATTCAGTGGAATAGTCACATTATTCTCGCTTGAATAATGAGCTTGTCTTATTGTAGTATCCTCAGCAATCGTACAAGTACCTTTGTAATTTCGAGCGCTCGATCGCATTCTGTATCGTTTCATCTTACATGACAAATTGCACATTAAGACCAGTCATGACTGACAAAAATTGTATAAATTTGATTCAGTATTATTGGTTGGGATAATAATACAACACATATAATGTGTATATAATATGAATGTATATTTTGCAGATAATATTTTAATGATTATTATATTATTTTAATGATTATGATATTTTTAAAGTACCATTACAAGTAGTATCATACTTCTATCGTGTGTTTCAGGTCCTGACATAACTAGTAGCAATCATGGGGAATATGTTTGCAACGTTATTCAAAGGCCTCTTTGGCAAAAAGGAAATGAGGATTTTGATGGTGGGTCTCGATGCAGCGGGCAAAACCACAATTCTGTACAAATTAAAATTAGGGGAAATTGTCACTACAATTCCCACTATAGGTAAGCATATCCATTTCTTACAGCTCATTCGCAATATATAAACAGCTTGAACCAATTCTTGCAAACGATTGCAAGACAAATAGTAATAAATAATATATAGTTTACTTATTGCCGCAGCAATCTAAATTTGAGTTTATACACACACACATATACTCACGCACACAGGATAAGGTATCTAAAAGAGGCCACCTGAATAATTTTTAAACTATGCATTGTATGAAAAATTGTTACAAAAATTGCACAATCTTGAGGGTATAATTGGATAGTATATGTATCTTTTTTGTAAATAGAGGTATTTCAGAGATTTAAATGTTAACTTTGAATTTTTTTTATATGGAACTACTGGAATTGTTTTATGCATATAGATTCCTTATAATATTCTGCATAGAAAGTTATGAGGATAGTATAGTCAAAAGTTGATTTCCGAGATATTTTATATCTTAATATATATAACATGTTTTGACATAAAACACAAAATATTTTGTACAATATTTAGTTTTTGATAATCTTATACAACTTTAATACTTTTATGAATAGAATAATAAAACGAATAAATTAGTTGTAAAGAAAACGTGTATAACTGTTTTTTATGGAAAAAATATACTTAGCATATTACATACTTTTCCATTAACTTATTGATTTAGATGCACTGTTTTATTCATTTTTACACATACACACACACACACACATACACAGACTGGCCCATTTTAAATGACATTGAAACTTTTTTTTAAATCAAGGATTCCATTGAAAAATGTTTCAAACAAAATTTATACAGTTTTAAGGGAGACTTTTAATGATGCTATTTATTTCATCTTTAGTGATCTTGCTAAGGTCATGTAAAAGTTACATTTAACTATTTAAATGGAATCATAGTTATCTTAACATAAATTGATTTCTTTGCTTATTCTGTGTATAAAAGTATTAAAGTGAATATTTTCCGAGATATTTTACTCGAATATTTTTATGCACAGAATAATCAAAAGAATTGATTTATGTTAAAAGAACTATATAAGATTCCATTAAAAAAAATTAAATGTAACTTTTACATAATCTTAGCAAAGTCAAGTGAATGGCGTCGTCAAACGTATCCTCTCAAAGCTTTATAAATTTTGTTTAAAACATTTTTCAAAAATCTTTTGTTTTTTTTTTCAACGAGTCATTTAAGATAGGTTATTCTGTCGATACACACAACATACACGACACACACACACACACACACACACACACACACAATAAAAAACAATGACAATACATGTGTGTAAATATATTTTTTAGGTTTCAATGTAGAAACAGTCGAGTATAAGAATATAAGTTTCACTGTATGGGATGTGGGTGGTCAAGACAAAATCAGACCTCTATGGCGGCATTATTTTCAGAATACGCAAGTATGTATATCTCATCGATTGTGTGAAATATTAGTACAAAATTATAATAAGTATATGAGAAGAAAGGAATGCACGTATATGATAGTATTTATGTGACTTTGTTTTGCTGTTATTGTATCTTTTGTTATTATATTTGTAGGGATTGATATTCGTCGTTGATAGTAATGATAGGGAACGTATCGGCGAAGCACGCGAGGAGTTGATGAGAATGTTAGCGGAAGATGAACTCAGAGATGCGGTACTTCTCATATTTGCAAATAAACAAGTGAGTAAACCAGTCTTTGTTGACGTTCGTGCAAGAATTTAAGCGCGAAAGACAATGTATTAAATTAATAATATTTTAGGATCTGCCAAATGCAATGAACGCAGCGGAGATCACTGATAAGCTGGGGTTGCATTCTCTACGTAATCGCAATTGGTACATTCAAGCAACGTGTGCCACAAGCGGGGACGGACTTTACGAGGGCCTCGATTGGCTCTCTAATCAGCTGAAAAATGCCAACCGCTAATCGGAAAATTATTCTGTCAACATTCAGTTGCTATATTAACATCATACAAAAGAAAAAAAAACAGCTGCACACCTGTCCCCCCATAGGAACGAGTAACATTAAAAGAAACAATGCGAACTCCACAGGGTCTCGAGAGCCTCGGAGAGTAGAAGGATTATCATTGAAAGTTATCTCTGCGCTAGCAAGTTTTTTTTTGGGGGGGGGGAGTGGGCAAGCGGCCGCAAGTACACGATCGAACGGCCACACAGGACTATTGCCTTGTGCGCAACTTATTATTATAATTATTATTATTACATTAGCATTATATAGTTACACTTTTTACACAGAGATGCCACAAGAACGTGGAAAAACTTGAAGTAATTATATTAAAGTACCTAACTCTGAAACATACGATACACATTGATTAACAAATTATTATTTAAACGATACCTTTGATGAGAACATTTAAGAACACTTTAAGAGAAAGAAAAGGAAAAAAACAGAAAAGAGTAAAGTACTCACAGCGTTGTCAGTTTGAATGTGTTGGACATACCGATTATCATAATGTAGCTGCATATTGTACATTACATTATATAAATACGATAAAATGTGATCAATAGAGACGAGAGAATGTTGCTCTGTCCACTACATTTATAAAACTAAGCTCTCACTTCGGCCCACAATGCGGTTGATACGAAAATGCAGAAAGTGATTGCAACGAAAGACGGTGCAATGACTTAGTATTTCTAGTTACGAAAGTTGGTTTCTATTTTTTTAAGTTTTCGGCGATAGACTTTGAAAAAAACGCAAACGATACGGATGGTTATCTCGCTAATTATTAGCGGCAGGTGTGCATCCTCCTCCTTTACCTGCCCGCCATTCAACTCATAGTTATTCAACCATGTATGTCTCACTATAAACGAGATGTATCATTTATTTATTGCACCTTTTGATAAGGATAAATTAGAGTATATCCTTAACATTCCGAAATTGCGCAGTGAACGCAGAGAAAAATTCAGCGAAAATTTAAAGAAATTTAGAAACGTGCACGATTCGTCGAATTGTTCGTGAAGAGAAAATATGTCACACAGTTATTCAAAAAAGCTAGTGCTTTTACCGGCGTGGGGTTTTCACGCGAACAATTCCGACGCTAATTCGCGGTCTTTCCTAACGTTTTTCCCGTACTTTAGATACCGATTCTTTTTAAGAGAGATACTCCTTCCCCTTAATTTCATTCAATCGTCTTTTCGTCATAAGCGAAAATTCATATAATTATGTATGAATGTTTAAACAATTTGTGAAATATATTGTAATTGTGCTTTATGTAGTCTATATGTTATTTGTCATGGAATATAATCTCTTTTATTATTTTATTTAGGTCGACCAGTCTGCAGGATTATATATCAACGAGAGAGAGATTTTGATTTCTTTAATAATTATTATTGAAATCCGCTGCATGGCTCGCGCTCTCGTCTAATAGGAACTCGTCCATCGATTCGTGTTTCGGAAATATAGGGATTTGAAAAAAATTTGTCGGAGACAGTGAGAGACAGAGCGTTGGGACCATGGACGTAATATTCATGGACCCTGCATACGGCCAGAAAAGTGAAGCAAACACGTAGAAAGAGACTATAGACATAATATACATAGACTCCGCATACAGTTAGAAAAGAGAAGCCAATATGTACAGTCCCTCTGTTCTCTGTCTCTTTCTGCACACAAAGTGTGTAGTAAGATTTAAGACTTTTACTTGCCAGTCTAGTCGGGGTGTTGTTGCGCTCTATAATATTATGGAAACGAGAAATGGATGCACGCGCAACAAAAAAGTGACAAAATAGGAAGAAAACTATAGTCCCTCTATTCTCGTTCTCTTTTTAGATGTTGGCTTCACTCTATTAGGCGACAGAACATAGAGCACTCGGAGTCTATGTATACTATGTCCATGATTGGGATCTAGGTCTTAGAGTCAACCGTAGTATTCCAGGAAATTTGCTCGGTCCTGTCTCAGTTTCCCATTATCTGTCATGTTTGCAGAGTTATAGGCGGGAAAAGGTTTTCGAAAAAAACTTTAGTTTGTTGGCAAAATGTAATCCTGAATTTGTTTTGTCTGCCGTTCGAGTATGTCGTAGAGCTGGTCGAGATCTACGACTGTGCCAAGCGGCGAGAATAACTTGACTGTACATTTTGAGAAAAATATGTTTGAAAATTTTGATCTTGGAAAAATTTAAGTCCCGACGGGAGTATTGAGAGAGTAAAAATTCGACTAAAATTTGACTATATCAATCGATAGTACTTAACGAGAGAAGCATCATGGTCTATTTTATATTGTGGATATTCTAAAAGATCGATTTTTGAAAAATTTTTTTCTAGCCCTAAAGTTACGCAGGGAGTAAAAATTCGATCAAATTCGACTAAAGTAATTGACAGTACTCGACGAGAGAAGCATTTTGGATGTTCTGCAAGAGCGATTTTTGAAAAAAGTTGTTATAACAATTTTCCTTTTCAAAATTGTTATTTCTCTTTCTAATCGAGAAAAAAGAGAAAGATATAAATCCGCGTTATGTCGGAACGCAGTACCGTCTGGAGGATCTTCAATTCGAATATTGCATCTTTCTGCCGAATAATTGCACATATGTGAATTTGATTTCACAGAGCTAAAGTACAAATCTTAATGTACGTTTTGCGCTACACAGTTGTACGCAATCATTGAATTTTTTTAATTTATTAACGGCCGGTAAAACTGATATTTAATTTACCATGCATTGGAAAATATTCCTATTTCTCATCACACGATTCTAGCAGATATTATTATAATTACTATAAAAAAAGTAAGGTAAAACTCCCCTTTGGGGGAGGCAGCTTTAATAGCCTTGATTTTGACATATGTTATAAAGGTCACCCTCCTGAGTAATCACAGAGAGAAGCCTGAGAGCGGCCACGCTATATGTTTTGGGCGACACCGATTTTCACGCTGGTGCGATGCGCCATCTGCACCCATTTTTCAGATGGAACTACGTTTCCTACGCCCATTTTCAGACGATGCCGATAAGTAGCGATTCGGTGCGTGTCTATTCTACGCCCATTTCCTGGCGATTCGTGTCCGTGCTAAACGCATAATTGCGTGGTTAAGAACATGAACCATTGCGTACAAACTTATATTTCATTCAACATGCACATGATCTTTTCTTTTTACGCACTGTCATAAATTTATTTACGTGTATATGCGTACGAAATATCATATGTACGTGTATATGCGAGAACCTGACCGCGAAAAGCACGCCCACTTCCATGTTCTACATAACGTAACGATATTAATCGCATTATTATAAAACATTAATTCCAGTAGCATAAACTGTAGAAAAACTAGTGCTCTTTAAATAACATCAATATCTTTCGTGGTTGCCGAGAAATAAGGAATAAATGTTAACGGCATGTAAGAGCTTACATCGCAACATCGAAACATTCGCGCATTTCTATACTTTACCTAAAGCAGTGGTATTAATCGTAATATTATAAATAACTAATTCCAATAGAGTAAAGTGTGAAGAAGACAGTGCTTTTTGAACGAAATCGATATATTTTGTAGTTGCCGAAATTAAGCAATAAATGCTAGCGACATATAAAAGCCTGAGCACGACGTCGCGGTCAAGTGCTTATATGCTGCCAATATTTTTTGCTCTCTTTCTACTACCAAAGGTATCGATTTCGTTCAAAAAGCACAGACTTCTTCACACTTTACTGTATTGAAATTAGTGGTTTATAATATTACGAAAGTATCACTGCTTTAGGTAAAGCAGCGCGTACGTTTCTACTTCGCGGTCAAGTGTTTGTATGCTGCCAATATTTTTTGCTTTCTTTCGGCAACTACATAAGATATCGGTTTCATTCAAAAAGCACTGACTTCTCCTCATTTTAATGTATTCGAATTAGTGGTTTATAATATTACGAATAATATGCTTTAGGTAAAACGTGGAAATGCGTTTACGTCTTGATGTACGTCGCAGTCATCCTCTTGCGTGTTCTCTAGCATTTATTCTTTAATTTCGGCAACTACAAAAGATATCGATTTCATTCAAGAAGCACTGATTTCTCCACACTCCACACTTCATTCTATTGGAATTAGTGGCTTATAATATTATAAATAATACCACTGCTTTGTAACGCTATTTTGCGTTCCGTGCGGGATAAGCTGCGAGTCGGTGTGGTCCGGATTCGAGCAGATGTCAATAATCGTGAAGACAGTGGGATGGATAGTATAATAATATATATTGTCGATTAGGTGGCTATTTACAATGCGTATGTACAGGTTGAGTCGACGCCGTTGGCTTCGCGCGCGGGTTTTTGTGTTCGCGCGTGTTGATGTCTGCTGCGGCCGCGCTCGGCTGTAGGACCGCTGGCGGGCGCGGGACGCGGGCGGTCGTGTGACGCGTCGATCGTGTTGTGCTTGCGGCACGATGTTGACGTTTGGATCTTTAATTTTTGGTCGCGCGAAGAGAGCCGTTACTTGACGACTAACACGGCTCTGCTGGCGTGATGCGTCGGATTTGGCGTTGCGGTTGTGCGCTACGATGCGGTGCCGCGGGGATCGGTTTCCCCGAGGCGGCGGTGCGGCTTCGCGGGATCGACCTTACGA